CAAGACAACAGAAGCGTTATGAATGTTTTATGTGTAAATAAACATCAGTATGTGTAAATAAACGTCATGTACAGTGAGTTTACCCGGTCTAGCTCTAATGTAAACTTCTGGTCCCACGACTGATTACTGACAGGTTTCCAACTGGTCTGACCAACGACAGTGTTGTCAAGCTTCAGAACAGCACTAATCTCATCTGGAGACAAACAGAGACACGTACACATATTAAGCTCCTTGACCGCCACAGCATTGCTTTTTAATTGCAAAGTCTAATGAAAGGCTTGTGAAAAGCCACTTGAAAGTAAGCACTAAGAACTACTCAACTGGACAAGTCATAATTTTTGGAGAGATTTCGAACACTGGTTCCTCTGCGATTCCCACGGCTCATGAAAGAGGAGCGCATTTCACTGGGGCTCCAACCGGGCAGCGGCACCGACGTGGCTTTAGACCGGCCAGGAACACTGTCTAACAGGTCCTGACATCCCATGAGCCGAACCTCTAATTTGCCTGTTTTAGTCAATAACAATCACCATTAAAATATGCTGCCATTTAAAAGTTTGTGGTCAGTACGATTTTTTTTATGTTTTTGAAAGAAGCCTCTTAATCCCTTAACTGTCACCCCCCCATTTTTTAAAATAGGCATGAAAGTGCACTATCCAAACTTAAATTGTTGTAATTTATCAACACTTTGGAATACAGACATAAGGTTGGTCTCTTTTTAAAGAAGAAAATCAGTAGATTATTGCAAAAGTTAAATTGTTTAAAAAAATTAAAGTATCAAAAAGTTATAGAAGTTTAAATGTACTGTAAATAAAATGCACTATATAAATTTTATTTTATTTATTATAAATATTTTACATAACAGGTTTTACTCTAAAATTGGTATAAAATGAAAGCCTTATGTCTAAATAAGTTATGTTCCAAATTTGAAGTTGATATGAAAAAAATGGAGGTTCATGTGACATTTTATTTAGGGCGTCATACCACAAACAGCCACCGAGTGCCATCCAAACTCCATAAAAAAAATTGTAATGCATTTTTCTGTCACAAATGTCTAGATTTCTCTGTCAATATTACTTCTATCTCAAAATAACCACCAAATATGGAATCATGAGACTCAGACCTTTCCAGTGATATGTTTTTTGTCAAGATTATAAAAAGGTTTTGTTTCTAAAAAACCGTAATGCATTTTGTAATATGACACTTGACACTGCCCACTAAGGGGGAGGAGACCGCCAAAAGATTTTAAAGTACTATTTCTATGGTAATGCAATGTCCGATTTCAAAATGGTTTTCAGAGGATGAACCTTGGGCTTCTAAGCTTTCAAATGATATATACTTTATGATGATTACTAAAAGATTTGATAGAGAAAAAGGACAACAACAAAAAAGAGCGCCAAGCGTCCCACAGGTGGGATGGTGACAGTTAAGCTCACGCAGCCTGCATTTATTTGAAAAATACAGTAAAACAGTAATATTGTGAAATATTATAAAAAATTTAAATAATGGTTTATATTTTAGCACATTTTAAAATGTAATTACTCCAGTCTTCAGTGTCACGTGATCTTCAGAAATCATTCTAATGTGCCGATTTGCTGCTCAAGAAACATTTCTCACATGCTGGAAACAGTTGAACTGCTTAATATTTTTGTGGAAAGTGGACACATTTTATTTCAGGATTCTTTGATGAACAGAAAGTTAAAAATGAGCAGTATTTATTTGAAATAGAAATCTTTTGTAAGATTAAAATGTCTTTACTCTCAGTCTCACTTCTGATCAATTGAGTGTGTTCATGCTGAATGTTGATTTATTTTTTTTAAAATCTTACTAACCCCAGTTTACAGCTTCATATAACACTTAAATAACACATTAAGGAAAATCTGAAGGTAATATGTGTTGGTCACCTGTGAGCGCAGCTGGTTTGGTGCTGTACTGGTTTTTAACAGTGCTGTTGTGGTTCAGTGTGGATATGAAACTCTGACGGGGACTGAGGGCCGGAGAGGACATGAGCGATAACTCCTCCATGATCAGACTGCTCTTGGGATGGTTCTTCGGAAGCTCATTGAGTCTCTGCTCCAGCGAATACTTCAACAAATCCAGCTTCTGACTGGACTCATTGAATCTGGCTTGGGCCTGGAATTCACAGAATTACAGCAGAGGAATTAATGGCAGTTGGATGCATATATATAAACCTAAAGGTGCGGTCACATTTACTGTTGCTCGTTGAAGTTTTGCGGGCAAAATCCAGTCATAGCAACAGAAATCCGCACAACTGGGAGTTTCAGCGCACAGATTTTGATTATACTCAAGCTGATCACGCAAATTCGCTAACAGAAAGCTCAGAAAGCTGCTTGGTTTGAAAGTAACTTCTATATGAGCTGTGCTTCATACATCACTACAATAGACTATGGTAGACTGGACCTTTTTTGCCTGCAAAATTTCATTGGCAAAAAAAGGCTAGTTGTCAATGGCATAGAGATGTATGAAGCACTGATCACACAGATGGCATTTTCAAACCCAGCTGCTTTCTGTTTTTTAATGTGCTGAATTCACGTGACAAACCTGAGAATGAGCAAAGTCTGTGTGGGGAACTTTTTCACCCTCACGGGAAACTCCTGATTATGCTGATTCCTATTGGCATGACTGGATTTTGCGGCTGTATCTTGGGACCTTATATCGTCGATTAGATGGCAACAATACAAATTCATTATACAACACATGATTAGGTTCAGAAACAATGTTATTAGCTAATCTTACAAGATTATTATGGTAAAATAGTTCATATGCTTTTTGAAGTGGCTGACCCACAATTTTGGAGCACATTTTTAGTAAGTTCATTAGCTTTGTTTTTAGACTAACAGATAGACTCATATACCAAACCGAATTACAGTACTGCAAGACACTCATGATTACAGACATAAAAAAACAATAAAAGAATCTGCTTTCTTGCTCCAAATGACCTCAATCTACAGAGAAAGTAAATTCTTTGCATTGATTTTTTACAGATACTATCTATGTGATCTCTCCATGATAGTGTTTTGTCTATCCATACTCCTAAGTACCTATATGCTTCTACTTGTTTGATGTTCTCTTCATGTATAACAACAGGTGTTGTATGAATGTCAGCAACAGGCCCTAATACTATCTCCTCAGTTTTTTTTTAATTAATACTGAGGGCATTGTTGTCACACCATTCGACCAATTTGTTTACCCCCTGTTGATGCTGTTCTAAGCACTCTTGGTTATTCAATAATGATATTAACACAGTATCATCGGAGTACTTTAAAATATATTGGTCATTCCTGTTTACTCGACAGTCATCTGTATACAGAGTAAATAACATAGCAGAGCTTACACACCCCTGAGGTACACCAACATTTGTTTTTACTTCTGTTGACAGGACATTGTTCACTTTAATGAACATAAACTGATGTTTATGTTCAGTTTATTCAGATGATAAACTGAAACAATAGTTCACCAATAATGACCCTCAGCATTCCTGTAACATTCCTGGAGCATATGCATGATTTTGGTCTCTTTTGAAAGGTGACACTCTGAGGTTTGTTCCTAAACAGAACAAACCTCAGGATCACTGTAAGTCTTACTGGTATTGAGTAATAGAACTTTGAACACACTCAAAAAGGAAAAAAACATTTCGCCTACATTTTTGTTTTTTTTTGTAAACAGACACCTGCAGATGACTATAGCTGGGAGCTATTAGCTGGAAAACACAATGGGATCACAGCATGAAGCCTTGTTGGCGGTCTGACAAAGACACTGATTGTACCTGCTGTGTTGATTGTATCATCATTTGAATCGCTAACAGGTTAACTTATCCACATGTTGTTCCAAAACCTGTATGCTATTGATTTTTACATGGAATTAAAACAAAGACTTTTCATGCAGCTCTTTTGCATACAGTGATGTTCCATCCGGTTGTTGAGCCTGACATCACGTGTCACCGTTTCAGGGTCCAAGCACTCTATCAGATCCCAAAAGGAAACAACGGTGCCTACATATTCTTACAGTGTGCAGTCACCAAAAATCATGATCCTATCCTTTATATACATACCAAAATCTGAGATGGCCAAACAGTGATTAATCTTTTCTGAATCGTTTAAATCTTGGTGTCCAGGACACTGTGAGCCTGTAGACTCTTGTGCCCACAATGAGTTTTTAAAAGCTTAGCTTAAATGTTTGCTATAAATATAAAGTGCTCATAAATGACTGTTGAGATAACATTCTCAAATGAAATGGAGTAGAGGCTTGGACCCAGAAACAGTATTCATTATGTCACAACCTAAAAACTTACATTTAATTTAAATTACAAAACAAACAAAAAACAAACAAAAAAAAAGTAATAAATGAAAAAAAAAAAGTAATAAATAATCAATAAAAAA